CATGTTGCCCACTTGCTTTATTTACAGCATCATAACAGAAAATGGGTTTTAAAGCCGATCGGTTTGTCAAAAAGTTATAACTTTTTCGCTATACACATCAATCAGCATCATGTTTATCATTCAGCATTAATCACTTATAATTTTAAACTCGCAAGTATACAGTTACCTAAAATATGCTATGCAAGAAGTATATAATCACCATAACCACGGGATTCAAGTGAAGTTTTAGTTTGCGATATCGAAATCAAGGCTAATTATATAATCAAAAGAAATGCTTTCGATGCGAGGCAGACAAGTTTGACGTGATGTTTTCAGAAACTTTCTTTGAAGGAACTAACGGTCTGTGTATTCGAAAAAACAGCTAAAGAATAACTTAAACATAGTGGTAGCTGTTAGCTGCTATCGGAGGATATCGGTACTGCGAGTTTCAGGCTATCAGTTCGCTATATTAACACAGAACGAACGTAACTAGGGGCTCTTCAGAAAAAAAAAACATTGGTGATTCATATTTTTGCTCGAGTTATTGTTGAAATGTAAATCTTATGGGAACAATTAGGGTAGCGATATGGCATATGTGCTTCCCACCTCGATTGTTCAATGTTTCGGATGGGACTTTTGGATCTTTAAGTGGTGCAGAGTACTTCTCGGTGAACGAGGATGGAACTTTCTGGATAATTCACCTCAATGTGGAATGGTTCTTGTTTACTATCTTTATATAGAATAAACACTTTATCGAATATCGTCTTCTTTTCCCAATTATGTTGGGTTGTTCTGGTGCACCGGTGGGATAGCTGGATTATGACATTATCGTTTTTGTTTTGTTGCATTCGGGGGATGATTGTTTAGTAGTTTCATTATTATGATCCTAAAAGGAAAGAGTGTTACCAAGGGAAAGAATTGCGATTGGAACAGTAATGAACCACAAAATTGGCTGAAACGAGTAGGTTACTAAAGTTTCTGAAAAGTGTGAACTCGCAGATTCCGCTTCGCGCACATGCACAGGCATTTGCCACAGCTCATCCCTGCAGCCCATCCCAACAAACTATACAGAATATCACTGATTATCAATAATTATCTCTGTTTATCGATCGTTAACACTATTTATCAACGATTATCATTGAAGTGCTAAGGAGCAGAAAAGGAGATCATTCTGTACTATGCCTCTGTTGCATTTCGCAAACCCATGTTCTATGCTCCACTGTATCAGATATGCTTATTGATGTTGAATACTCTGGTCCTATGTATTGCTTTTGAGGATACTGTACCCAGATTTCCAACGTATTATGGAATGAATCAGACGTAAGAGTATTATCTGTCCAATATAGGTACGATGCACTGGGGCGGGCTAGACACTTTAATGCTACTTTACAAACCTACATATAAATGCTTACCTTCCCTGGAAGCGTTTGTAAAAATTTTCCCTTGAATTTTGTTCCTTAAGCGTTTCATAAGACCTATTCTGTTTAGTTGAATGCTGAGTCTTTCAATAGCTTTATTTTCAGGATGAACAAAATTATCGGCACTATTTTAATCGTCAGTGTAGTACTGTGTCACGGCAAGCGAGAACGTTTTCATTTCCGTGGGCCATCGATACCGCCACCGCCACCATATCTCGATGAAGTTAATGGGACAGCATGTCTGGAATACCTCGACATAATAGCAAACAAGAGCCTTACCATCGCACAACAAAAGAAGGATGTACAAGCTTGGGCAGCGAAATACGACGTCACGGTAGGTATTGCTAGCAAAATTTGTTGGAAAGGAAATAAGGTAAAACTGGGCCTTCGGTCTGAGTTCTCAACTGTATTTCATTGAGGTGAACAAGTTCCCTTTACGCTACGTCTAACAAGAACATTTGAGGGTATTGTGAATGAATATAACACAAATATGACCAAAACGATGGAGGAGGCAAGGAAGAACGTGACTGAACTGATCAGCAAGCTGCCAACAGTATTGCAAATGGCCTACGAAATAATGGACAACGAAGGCCAAACTGTATCTCAACAGCGCCACGCTTATGCTAATCTGAGCGCACGATATCCAAAGGTCCTTTTCCTTGCTCCCAGATGCAGCTGAAATGGTAATAGTGACAGTTCGTCATCAAAAACTTTTTTACATTCAGGAGTACCGCGTGATTGAATATACATTCCAACTATTCCTACCTGACTGTGGTTGTGGTGGTGAACATGACGGACGTGGCAGAAGTCGCGGCCCACAGCCGCCTGAACTAGGTAGATGGGATTTCCCTATTGATAATAACAACTAAAGGAGCCTCCGAGGCGGAATAGGTGTTTTAGTAGCTTGCCCACTTTCGTCTCTTTACATTGCTTTTCAGAAAAAAGTAATTACGAGTTCGTCATGGATCCACGAGATGGGGATGAAATCGAAGTTATCGACCCAGTTTCTCCGAGTATTGCAAGACGTGATCGAAAAGGTTTTAAAGTAATACTTCCATTGACAACTCGAATATGATAAAGGTGATAATACTGTCTTTAAGGAAAGGCTCGCGGTTTTGAAGAATATTTCGGTGAGGGAACGATCGCGGTATGAAGCAGTGATAGGAGGACCTTAATCACTCAACAATTGAATTCATTTCTGAATCGTTCATCAAAGAACGAATGAACTGTTGAACAGAACCACGTTTATTTTCTAAACAAAGGAAATAAATATTTTGCAACTTTGACGTACCGTTTCCCTACGATTTTCTGAAACTTTGGATTTTTAGGCAGCTGGGTGTTCAAAAAATACGTCATAATTAGTGAAACATGGGCCGATTAGAATGTATTCTCCTATATTGATATCTTAGCCATATTCTTCAGTTGTAATCTGACAAAGAGATTTACCAAAACTTTCGAACACGACGAAAATCTTTTAGGTAAAGGAAAAGCGTATTATGACCAGAAAAACAAGCATGAAGGCTTGTATAGAAGTTTTTGTCTGATTTGTCAAAGTTTCGTTGAAAATTTATTTTAAGAAACGTCTGTTGATATGATCACAACATTCTTAATCTTTAGTACAGCTGCTAGTCTATCCACCTTCCCCTATACATACAATAATGCGGAAGTGGATGCAAATTCGTGTATGAATGGATTTTGTTTTCTCTGACTAAATGATTGGCAAACCGTAAGTATGGGATTGATAGGAAGCCTGTTTTCTTCAACCATCACACTTTAAGACTGGAAATATTAGCGACAGAACTCTATTCGATTTTCTGTCTGAAGCGAAATTTCCCACTCAAATTCTGGATCGTGGATATTACGGGATTAAGACCCCTTCCTGCTGCAGCGTCTAATCCACTTTTTGGACTTTATGATGGCTTGATGGATGTTTATGAAAAAGTTTTCTGAAGTGGAGAACCAGTGGTGCTATTCCTCGAGGATGACACACCTATGTGAGGGGACACGTCGTCCCCCAAAGCTTATTCCTAGTCCCAATAAAGTAATTCAGCACTCTGCAGTTCGGGTAAATGAACTCCAATGTTTCAAGAGGTTTATTTATTTATATATATATTTATTTATAATATTTAGAGCTTCATTGAAGAAATTTGCTAAGATGGGCTTTAGGGGCATCAGTTGATTCAGGGTCGGGAGTTATGCTCAGTTAAGCAGTTAAGCGATTGTACACTGATCCAGCTCGATTTACGAAGAATTTGTGCCTAAGATTTGAACGAGCTGGACTAAAGTTTATCTTACTATGGTTTCCTCTAGTAATTGATGGCACCATACGAAATAAACCGCTACATCGAATCTTATTTTGGGCCACCGAGTATTTTGCTAGCTATTATCACACCCTCATTCTTCTCCTGCATGAAAGCAACTTCAAACCTAGAAGACAGTTACGAAATGCAGAATCCGGTATATCTGTGTATGGTAAATTATGGTAGCGAAGAATCAATTTGCTGCGTGTAAAACTATCTTGAACTGCCTCCAACCCTTTGTGAGACTATGAACGTTCCGCAATGAGTGGCAAGGCGATTGGTGGGAATGGAATCTATGAGTAGAGGGATCATTTAAGGAATACTATACTGATAGGTTGATCTGGATGTGGGATCGCTAACTACACCTCGATATGAACTTCCATTGGGCAGTGGCTGGTTGATTAGCCACGAGTGCCAGCTATCTGAACCTTTTTCTTTACCATAATCCGGATCAGCGAGAGTTGGGCTAACCAGCATCATAGAAAAGTATAGCTGTGAGTGGAAGCACAAGAAATAAATGGAGATTGTCAAAGGAAATTAATGAAGACACATACAATTAATGTTCTTTGATGATCAATTTTCCTAATAATCAACTTCCAGAAAGTGCGTGGTGGGTAGTTGATCTAATTATGGGATTATTTGCATAATCATGGTGTAATAATCAATGATCAACATCAAAAATGGAAGATATAAGGGAGACTGTCGAAGCAGATTTGAGCAGAAACATTTGTATTTTTCAGCTTCGCTCTTCTTTGTACTTTCGTAGATACATCATTTCAAAAAGAGTTGAGGTGACGTAGTGGCCAGTAGTGCACTGTCCGGTGTAGAATCCAGCATCCGTCTACGCCAGCGGAACCTTCCATATATCGGGGTTCGGGTAAATGGGATCCAGCTTGTCCGAGAGAATAATAGCACTGACTTGTACATAGGCTGGGCTCCCGAAAGCCAGTGTATCGGCCAAAGACGCATCCGCTAACCTCAACGGGGCGTTCGCTTAAGGTTCAGTTGCTATATTTTATTAAATATGCCCACAAGAGCGCAAGATTCCCTATAACTCCAGAAACGGTATCTAAACTGCAATCGTGAAATGATTTTGTACTGTTTCAGAATGAAAAGTGCAGTGGCTGTTCTTCTTGCTGTTTGCTTCCTTCTATGCATCACTGAGGGGCGTCGTAACCATAGCCATAGCCACGAACATGGTGGCGAAAGACCACCTAAGCCGGCGTTCCTCAAAAATCTCAACGACACTCTCCGCGAAGAATTTAAGAGCATAATCAAAGACAGAAACCTACAACCTAGCGAGAAAAGAGCAAAGGTTCTGGCATGGGGAGAGAAATACGGCCTTCAGGTATGTTTGCTATTCCTGTTCAAGAAGCATTCGGGCAACGAATCACTCCTAAATTTTCTTTTAGTGAAAATGCGCTTATGTTTTCCTTCTTACAATTAGTCTAGAGGACACATAGGGAGAGCATAAATGTGAGGAAGGGGAATAGCTGTATGGAATGAAGGACTCTAGCAGAAAGGAGCGCTGAGATTAGAGAAATTCAAGGCAGAACGGTTTTTATATATGGGTTTTACACTCGGTTCCCACTTATTACCACTCCACCGGAGTTCTCCTCCTGGGTAGACTCCTGCTCAATTCCTTGCCTCCACCAAGCCTTTGAATAACACCTCTTCGATCGATCAGACCTGCGCTTCATTGTAAGACTTATACCAATGTTCATTTGTTCCTCATTGCTCTTCCCAACGACAATGATGTACTCGGGAATCCGATTAGTCCTCATTGGTCGATGTCGATTCTATTAACTCCCTATCCAAAAGGCATATCTTGAGTCATATAGCCTGTTCGAAGAGTAACGGTGTGGCATGAAAAGTTTCATTTCCAGAAGGAAACACAGGAACACGAGGACAGAGTAGCAGCTTGGTGGGCAGCTCGTAAGGTAAGATAACATATAACATAATGTAAATTCGCTTTCTTCCGTTTTTTCGACTCTGTATAATCAGGTGGGTACAAGTAACTGTTGAAAATTTGCTCTGTACGACACCTTCATAATTCGAGCAGCAATGATTGTTGTTGTTTAGGGGTCTACGGCAGCACCAGCTTGATTGTACCATCTTTCTCACATTGATAATGACCGATTCTAGTCTTAAAAGCATCAAAGGGAATAAATATGATTTCAATGTAATTCTTTTACAAATATGGAAGTAGGGATTACATTTTAAGCTAGTAAAAACATGAGTTGAAAAGAAGCATGTTCGTGTCTTCGGTCACAAGTTGATCAGAACTGGCTGAGTCTCGCCCATAGCTTACGATGTTTTGATTTTACATACACTTGTTCAGTGAGTCAGTCAAATTCAGTGAGTTTATGAGAAGATGCATGTCTTACAAATATTATACACATACATGCCTTCATCTAAACAATACTAATTCACCTCGTACAAATGTCTTTCTTATGAGCTTGACCTGAAGGGAGTAATGACAAATTGACATGGTATTGTTGAGCTTTCTATCTTAGTGGTTGCAGTGACGACGACCATTGGCTTACGGTGAAACTTTTCTAAAATTGGTTCGAACAGGCTGAGTAGAGCGTTTCTATAGTACTTCGTTGCCACGAGTACAGCGATTGTGTTGATAGGGCTGTGCAGAGCAACCGTCTGAGAGAGTACCGCATTCCAAACTGAATACAATCTGTTATTATTATAATCCGAGGTACATAATATATGAAATTATATGGACAAATATGTCAAACGGAGAAACTAACATTTGGCTCCAAATGGTACTTGAAAATAGCGAGTTGAAAACAACATTATAATAGGAACGAGAACACTAAGTGCTGGAGTCAAACTCTGAAATATTTAGAAGGTTTACTGGAATTGCTTTCCTGTTTTCTGAGTATTTTTTTCGAGCTAACTGTCATTCTGAATGTGATTGAGGGTTCAAATCCTGCTAGCGGCCGGAGCTTTGCCCATATCTAGTTAACTTTGGTAGACTACGATATCAATACAACACGTAAAATGGGATTTCACCAGAGTTAGGGTCGCTCAGTTGCTATTGTACAACGACTGACCGCACAAATCATCGTATGGATTAAGTACCCGTTCAAATGCTACCGTAGTCAAGAAAAAAGGCGAGTTTGGTGCGCAATAGAGATGAAAGTTTGAGGTCCCTAAATCATAATTGCTCTACTCTACATTTCGAATGTTCCGATTTCGATACACTCTGCTGAAAGGGACGGCAGTGAACCGCGTTTTCTTGGTTTTGCATCCATCCCAATTGAATAGTTATTCATAAAACGACAAAGGATAAGTCCCTCGGACCTCTCTCTCTAAAATCAAACCCGTTTTTGGGATGTGCTTGTGCATTCAACATCTATTAGCATTGTAATAGTGTTCTGAAGGCATATACGGGCTTCACGATGAATTGCTGTGGAGAGCAAATGTACAACATAGCACTTCTGATCCTCTCAGACCAGTTTGCTACTAACTAACCATTTCGGTAGGAATGAAAGGACTGAGTGGCCTGGGCGAGTATCGGTCCGGTTTCGATCCCCCACCTTGGGTACGTTAACGTGCCACCGTAACAATGTGGTAGTTGCCACTACACGACCCTTGCTCTCGCTTTTCTTTTACTTACTACTTCATTAATCAACTTTGTCCTTTGTCTATCAGCTTTACTTTTTCACTTCTTTACTGCTTCTTTGGCAAAAATGTAATCCGGTTAGGGTCAATTCTCTTCTTCCTTGAATGAAAGCGATACCTACCTGGACAATCAAGTGAATCATCAAATCCCGATGCAGTTCCATGGTTTTGCTGCTCATGAATCGTCGTTTTTTATAAAGGTGAATCATAATAGTGCCTGCTATAACTCCACACAA